ATCGAGTGCAAAACATATTGTTGCCGTATTTCACACAGGAATACTCCAATTGGATCCGCAGGATCTGGAAGTGGATCGATTCCGGCCGGCAACAGGCTGAAAATTCTCTCGCGCTTTATTTACGAGATAATTAAATTCTAATTAGTTGAAAAGCACGGCGGGGAAAAATAGGTGGGCGATGCGTTCGGTTATTCCGTTGCATAAATTGCACACCTGTGTTTACACACAGGTCGATATTTTTTTTATTAATCTACGCGTCTGCGTATCGGCGAGGGCATTTTTGAGGCCCGACGTTTGATTTCAGCGGATTGATATAAGACACACCCCGAGTAGAAAAATTAATAGGGCTCTGGTAAGGGCCTGATTATTTTTCCCCTAACATCAATCGGGCCCTAGTAAGCATAGACAGACAAGGATAGAAAGACATCCTACAAGATGTGTAACAAATGGTTCAATGGGTCCTTATAAAACAATATTACGAGGACCTTATAAGGCAATATTTCTATTATTGCTTGATTAAAAATATTCGTTCTTTTCATTCCGAGAAATTTAGACTGTACTTTCTTTATTTCTTTGTTAACCTTGTTAGTATATACAACAAGAATTTTTTATTTTAAAAATATAGCATTCTTTTCCCATGTTAAAACGTTATTTCGTAAAATCTAAGGCATCCCTAAAAAATCCATCTCGGGGCCTGATGTGATATAATACTGAGGCATCCCTTTTTAAAATATTCTATCTTCAGCCTTATCGGGGTCTTATACTTCATAAAGATGGCGCTAGCAATTTTTTACTCGGAACGTTTGCCGTCGTGTAAATTATTCCCCCGACGTAAAACGCTATTGCAGTCTGTTTCTCTCCTCCAAAGAGAGATTCAGAAGCCTATCTCTCGACTCGGAACACAGAGTTGCTCGCATCTATCCGTACAAAAGCCAGCCGAAATAATAAATATCCAGAACCGTGGCGGACGGGGACGGTCCTGGTGACACGTGGAGGGCGGTTTCGGGTCAAGGTTCACACACAGTTGACTATGTCGAAGGGCACAATAACGAATCGCGAGATTGTAAAGGGAAAAGTTTGACGCGATACGTTTACCAATGCGTGACGGCGCTCTCTCTCTCTCTCTCTCTCTCCCCCTCTCTTTCTCTTCCTGTAACAACGCTCCACCGTAGACGAGCGTAACTGCGAACGCACATGAACTGTCTCGTTCCGTCGGCGAGCGCGCCGATAAAGGACTTCTGATCGCTGTCAGCGTTGCTATCACGCTTGTTAACGTACGCCGGGACTCATTAGGCTCGCGATAAAATAATTCGCCCCTAACCCACCGCGTTCCGCGAGACGACGTAAACATCGGGTTAATCGGAGCTGCAACAGTTTATCTCGCTGTGATCCGCGCCCGGCTGCATCAGAACGTTTTATTTTCATGAGATTGAAACGTTATCTCCGAAACTTGACGCGTGTAATAAAGTCGAAAATTGAGTTAAGCAGCGAACGACGTACAATAAAGAGCTCTCAACGAGATTACGTTACCGTTTACTCCACGGTGTAATATATGTCATAGGGTATAATATATAGCCAGCCGTACACAATAACCCCCCCCCCTCCCGGAGAGTTGCCGTAAAAAGCGGGCAAGAGTTTTATCGGATCTTCCGGCGAAGTGACATTCCTGGATTTGACGCGGGTTTCCGGAAGATCCACAGATTCCAAATTAGCTCACACAAATTGGCCGGACCGGATGACGCGTTCTGAATGAAAAAAGAAAAACAAGCAGAGAGAGGGAGAGGGAGAGAGAAAATACTTTTTATTCGCGTTTCAGCGCGTTGGGCGGTTTGCAAAACAGCGAAAAGGCCAACGCGTGTGCTGCAAAGTGTTTACTCTGTGTGTGTGTGTGTGTGTGTGTGTGTGTGCAGCTTCATATTGATCCCATACTTGTATTTATACAGCTTACTCGAGCGTGCAAAATGCGATTTTTCTTTCGTCTTTTCTTCCCCACATTCGCCTCTTTTACTCTTTTGCAATTCTCCGTAATACAGAAATAAATAAATGAACAAATAAATACGTATACGTATATAAATATACGATGGAAAAAATGGCTTATCGTTAGCGCGTCTTCGCGCAACGATGGGTTTACGGGTCGAGTGTCGCGCAGAGGATGAAGATTGGTCTGTCTCTTTTCCCCTTCGCGCCAATTAAATCAATAGTTAAGCGGAAATAACTCGAGCGTTCCTCTCCCGCGGAGAGATTACTTTCTCGCGTGTCTTCCTCCTTCTGCGGTATTAAGGGAGGACCCGTGGGCCGATTTATTTATAATAAGTTTCTGCGTTTCGCTGATTTTTTTCGCACGCAACCTCTCGGGACAATCCCGCGCTTCCCGGCACCTGTCGCCTGAGTCTTATTGATCCCGGCGCGGTATCGACCTGCGGAACCTTCGGCGATGGTGGCACGCCGAAATTGGGAAATGCCAGAGATCGGTCACGTTGCTCTCTGCATGGAAACGTCGCGCGATAACCCGCGCGATGCTGTCACTTCAGGAGGAAATCGAGTTTCAAGATTTATTCGCGATATCCCGGCGAGTCGCGATAAGCTTTATTATTCGCGCACGCGGTAGCGATCATCCGCGGAGTACGATCTACATTTTCGTCGCTCAAAGCAGATTACTTCCGTGTTATATTCCTCGGTCGAGCCGGGCCTTCATCTCTGAGAGCCGATCTCGCGACCAGAGTCTCTTTCTCTCTCTCTCTCTCTCTCTCTCGTGCAAGAGAGAGACGCGTGTGTGAGGCAAGCCGGAGCTTGCAGCGTGTTTGTTCGGTTTCGGGGAAACGGCCAGATATATTTCGTCGACGCATCAAGAGCTACGTAAAAGATGTACGTAAAATCCTTACGACCTAGCGTGATTCCTTCCTCCAGATGCGACAGGAGCCGGACGAAAATGACACGACAAAAGTGACGCGTTGTCGCCGGAGCGCGAAAGAATCCCGCGAGTCCCGAATTCAGCCGCGGCCCGCGTCTCGAAATCATTATACGAGCGGCAGGAAGAAGTAATGCGAAAAGCGCGCGGGCGAATTTCCTTTTTCCTTTATCCCGGGCCGCGCATCGCGGAGCCCCGTCCGGCCGGCTTAATTACATCGTGATTACGCGTGATCGAGTAAACTCCATTTGTCACGGTCGGGATTCCGTTGCGTTAAAACGCCAGAGAGCGGTTATCGCGGCCGGCAACGAATACCCCGTTGCGAAACGGAACGGGACGAGTACCCCCTCCCCCGCGCGTCGCTTTCATTATCCCCGGCCCGGCCGGCGCGTCACTCTTGATCAATCTTTCGCATTGTCCTTGCATTTTATTCGCACAACGGCCGCGACGCGGCCGGGCATATTCCGCGCGAGGCGCACTTTTTTCCAACGGGCCAGCCCCGTTTGCACAGTTTGGTGAACTTTGGAGCGCTCTCGGTCTGAGGAAGCGAGACGCGGGAAACTGAATCATTTATCACGGAACTTTAACATCAACAACCCGACCGAGTCACCCCCCACACTTGACGCGGGGTCGTCCGAGCAACATTTGCCGGGCCTGAAGGTCAGCGTGAACGTTCGAACAGAATCCACCGTCCTCCAGCTATTTTTCTCCCCCCTCTCGCCAGCCGAAGCGAGATTCACAGTAACTCGACGATTAACGATCGAGCGGTGAGACACATTTTCCCTCTCGACTCCTGTCGCGGCAGTCACTCGAAACTGATACGTCACGTTTTGCCACGGCAAATTGCATCGCCTGAGATTTCCGAGCTGCATTTCGATCCATTAAACACACATGCGCGCCGCGCGTTGTACGCGTTTAACAAACGTCACAAGTGTCAGCTGTGTCTGAGCCGCGATCGACGTGCGCTGCTTCCGCCCCGTGCTTCTCTCCGCGGCGTGCAACTTCGCGTTGAAATAAGCGGGATGCGACGCGGAAGGGCGGCGGATTTTCGCGACCGCGAGGCTCCGAAAAGTGAGACGCGCGCGCGCGCGCGCGCAGGTTTATGCGGCCTCGCGCCGGAGATTGCTTAACCCCTTCCGTGGCAGAGCGAAATTCACAGTAAAATGCACTGAAACCGCCCGAAAAAAGTGACGGGGCGGATCTTTTCAATAATTTGTATACTTCAGTTTCTTGCTCGCTGAAGCCGACTTTGAGGTCAAAATATAGAAATTCACGAAATGTTTAACCGTGCCACCTACGGCACGATTTTGGCTGGACGCGCACCGATGCGTCCCGTGCCACGGAAGGGGTTAAAATACACACTCCTGTCGCTGCGCGCGCGCGCGACGCTCGCCTTAAAATACAAGCAGCGGTCGCCGCGCGGCTCGCGCAAAGATCTCTCCGAGAGGCCGGCAGTATTTCCAGCGCGTCGTCGCCGCCGGCTCGGATTGCGTGAAGTCAAAGGGCCGGCCGGGTCGCATTAGTTATTCTAATCGCCCCCGTAAGGCAGCCATGCAATTAAAATCCGTTCATCCGGCAAAAATGCAGTTCCCGACGGAAGGCTTAACGGGGGTGCGCCTCGGCCGATGTGCTCGCGAGCGGAACGCCGGCGCGAGCGCAATTACCCCCGCGTTTACGGGCGAGCATGCGGCACGAACATGCGGGGGCATCCTGGAGCTGGAGAGAGAGCAGCCCGGAGAGAGCCGAGAGAGCGAGTCTGCCGCCTGCGTCCCGTCGAGCCTTGCGGAGCGTGAACGGAAGTAGCCATCGATGTGCACCGGAAGCGCGCCGTTGCGTTCGTGCCGCGATCGTTGGAAAAAGCAGCCCTCGGGCAACGCGCCGAGGGTCGGCAGCGTCCGCCGCCACCGCCACCGCCGCGGCGAGAGAAAAAGGAGAACGACGACGACGGCGACGGCGACGGCGACGAGGAAGAGCGGCAAGGACGGCCAGCCGGTCGGGGCGGGCGGGGTAGTCGAAGGGTGGTCGTCGCGGAGGATGACCGAGGGCGGTGGAGGATGGAAGATAAAAGGATAGGAAGAAGAGCCACCGACGGACCAGTCCCGACGGGGGAGGGACGCGCAGCAGATCGGGGTAGTGGTGTGGCACCGACGCCGACATCGAGGTTGGGGTAGACGCACCGCAGGAGAGGGGCGCCATTATATTTGCGCAGGGCTGTCCAATAGGGCGCAGTATCGTCCCGACCGCCGTCGCGTGCACATGTCGTTGTTGTTGTGTCTGGGCTCGTAAAAGCCGCGTAAAACGCTGTCGTTGCTATCCTCGTCCTCGTCGTCGTCGTCGACGCCGTCGTCGTCGTCACCGCCGCCACCCCTGAAGTTTTCGCGACGCGGTGATCTCCACGCGTCTTCGTCCTCTCTCTTTCTCTCTCTCTCTGTCTTTCTCTCTTTCTCTCCACTCTCTCTTCCGCAACCCGCCTTCGTCCCTCTGTCGCTCTCTTCCCTCCCCCGTTTCTCCGCCCGTCTGCCTCCGCACCCCACGTTCTCTTGATCCCTCCGCGTTGTAGTCGCGCGCAATAGTCAACAAACCAACGGGGAGTCCGTCTGTCCGCCTACGCACGAGACGTGGAAAGTGTGAGCTGCGACAAAAGTGAGTAGACAAAGTGGCTGTTTAAATGTGGGTGGTAAAGGATCGACGGGCGGTTGGGAGAGTAAAAAGAGTATGGCGGGGGTGGAAGTCAAAAGTCCAACCGCGCACTCGCCCGCTCGCGGCGTTTGTACTCGCGGCGGGACGGTTCCCTCGCTGCGCGACCCCTTCCTCCCTTCCCCTTTGTGCCCTTGCCGAAGGCTAGCTGTTTCACTTTCACGCGTGCGCGCGCGCGCACACGCAAGGGCATCGCGGCCGATCGGCCGATTTTAATATGTCATCCCTTTGAATCTCCAGGTGAAAGTACGCGAGTACGATCCCACCCCCAGCGCGGAGGTTCTAAAACGCGACGGGGGTGCGTGTCGTTGAGCGCGGCTCCCCCGCGGCAGTCACGTCCGCGGGACGCGGACTCTCGATGGAGAGAGATCGGCATCGATCAAGCCCGCCGGCGACGGGAATTTAACGGAGTTTGACGCGATTAACAGGTCGGGCCCGCGATTATCGCCCCGTCCCCTCCCCCCCCATCGTTAATTCACATGTGAAACTAAACGTAAATGGCGGCGCGACGAATCAAATACCGCGCGGGCGGCCGCCGGCCAGCGCGCGGGACAAGCTGGCGGCGGGCATGCACGCATCGTGATTCGCGTGTATCGATTGTATCTTGATATTTATTATATTTATCTGTATCGATCGGCACACACTCGAGTTGTGTACGGGACGGAGTTGCGTCGGAACGCGCTCGCGTGGCGGCCAACGTGTCAATTCGTTACTCTCCGTTATCTCCGTTATCTCCGGCCGCGATTAATTCATACCCCCGCACTATCGCTCGGCTGCGATCTCTCGGCTTTTGCCGGAGCGCGCTCGTACCAAAAGTGATGCGCTTTCCGGAGCAGCGACGCAGCCAACGCAGTCGCTCCGGAAAGCGAAGATCGGCCCCGCGCGCCCGCGCGCGCGCGGCTCGATATTGATGTGGCGATTAATTTAACGGGCGACTGGCAGCCCGGCAATCGCTTATCCGCGCTTCTTACCTCGGATTACGCGGAGTGATCCGTCGGCGGGAAGGCATCTCGGCAAGAACAACGGCTACGTGACGTGACGTGGCTGACGAATTCGACGGCTAAAAGCGGTATAAGATCGCGAGCGACGCGCTCTCGCGATCTGTCGCGACGTTTTTCTTTCCTCTTTCGTCAAGCCAACGTCAAGCGCGTTTGCTTTAATTAAAACCCCCGCTGTGGGGGGGCGGGCGGGAGGGGCGACGGGCAGTCTCGGCGAAATTAACTGGGAAATTAGGATGTTATCTGCTTACATTCTGGAAACTTAATTTACCCGAGCCCTTTAATTCCCGATGCTAAATACCTCTGTATAATTAAGCTCCCTGTTAAATTTCGGCTAAAGGGATATCGATTCCGCGTTCGTCAGGCTGCCTGTCGCTGCGAGTACTCGTCCGTGTGGTAGTAGTGGCGGTAGTGGTGGTGGTAGTGGTGGTGGTAGTGGTGGTGGTGGTGGTGGTGGTAGTGGTGGTGGTGCTGCTGATCGTGGTGGTGGTGGTGGTGGTGATGGTGGTGGTGGTGGTGGTGGCAGCGGCAGCGGCAGGCTGGACCATCCCCATAAATATTAAGCAACGGGGTAATGAGCTCGACGTTATTTTTGATAAATAGTACACCTCGACATTATAAATCGCCTGTCGAGCGGGCCGCTAACGATCGCCTGACGAAGCAATAGGTCATTCTTAATTCTTAATTCCACGGCGGCGATTCAGCGCCGGCCGACCGTGCGCGTAGGTACGCCGAGAGTCTCGTATAATTATCTACATCATTTATTACCTCGTTATCCTGCCGCGCGTTATCGATCCCCGCTGTGTGTTTAGCGCTAATACGAATATCTTATTTTAAGAGCTCGACGCGCGGCCATCGGTCTCCCTAACGGCTCCGGGATCGTGCGACTGAATCACCGCATTAGCGTTAAACGCGCGTCGCGTCCGCCCTACGAGTCGCTTTTACTCCCGAGGGAGCCTAATTTTTCCCGGGGACGCCCCGGATCGCCTTCGTGTGTGACAATCGCGACGACATTGTCGCGACGCGTCCGCCGCGGTCCGAATTAACGGAATTCTCTCTCTCTCTCTCTCTCTCTCTCTCTCTCTCTCTGTCTCTCTCTCTCTCTCTCTCTCTCTCTCTTTCCTCCCGCAGAGAACCAGAGTTCGTCCGGTAATTGTTAAAGACGGAGAGGAGACTCGACGGGGGCAGATTGCGCGAGCAAATGTTAAGACCTTTTCCGGGGGCGTAACGATAATCCGGGACGACATTTCTGCGTTGCGCGAAAGTCGTCGTCGTCGTCGTCGTCGTCGTCGTCGTCGTCGTCGTCGTCGTCGCCGGAGGGGAGAAACCATTTTCGACGAAGCTTTGAGAGCGCGAGTTGGGTAACGAATGGCTACGTGGTTGCGCGCTTGAAAAGGGCCCTTTTCCCCTCGTCTTTAACCCTCGCGGTGAATCTTGGGATTCGTCGGAATTGGAAAGTAAAACAGATTCCTTCGCCCGCATCCCTCTCGCGGCTGACTGCTCGTCTTTCGCGCCCTTACCAACGTCGAACACTTCCGCGCGCGGAGCTACTCGTGCTAATCAGCGAAAGCGAATGCGTCTTTAGGAAACGCCGCGCTACCGGCTAAGCTCGATCGATCTCAGGAGACGCAAACAATCGAGGTGAACCACGCGGCGCTTGTGCGGTTCCACCTTCGCGATAATTCTACACTGATAGAAAACTATAGTTGAATTAACTATAATCTCACTATACTTTATAGTTCATTTTGGCGTCAACCATATTTTTATAGTTCGTGGAAACCTGCAAAATATAGTGGAATAAACACAAATATATAGTCAATGATTGTCCGAAATAATTGTTTAGTTACTTTTACCACACAATATGGTAATTTCTCATTCACAAATATAGTGAGATTTAATATTCATATATAGTTACATCTGTCATGATTTAGCAAATATTCTGCTAATATTGACTATATCAAAGAGTTACTTTTACCTACCATTTTATGGATTTGTATCCATAGAATAATTTTAGTTTAACTTACTATAATTTTTAGTAAAAATATTACACGGTTGGTTACACTGTGCCTATATCGTAATTATTGCCGATATTATGGTAATACTTACTATAAATATGATATTTCGGACTATAATTTAGTTGCTGTATCATTATAGTTCCAAATATCATATACTTTTCTCTCAGTGTATAGATTCGTCGGCCGACCGACCGACCGACCGACCGACATAATTCCGACCGACGAAGAACAGACGGAAACGGAGGAGAAGCTACACCGAAGTACAGAAACATTAATCAAAGAGTGACGGCTCGTATACGGGCATTATCAAAACAACTTCTCGTCTCCGATCGCTACTTTTTCCCGGATCGGAAAAGAACACGCTCGTCTAATTAATCAGAATAAACTTCCGCCTTCCGTCTTTCGCTCTTCGCGTTTGCAGTTGGCTCAACCATCACGGATCGGCGAATGAAAACGAGAGAAGGACGGAGCGGAATAAAAAGAGAGAAAATGGGAGAGCGTTTTTTCAACGAATTTGCAGCGTATTTCAGTTGCCGCGAGTTCGCCGTTCGCGACGGCTCGCGCGATTTTCACGCAGCCGGAACTGCTGTTTCCGCCGCTTGCGTCCGTATCCCGCCGGCATTATACTCGTTACTTTGCATAATTGCTAAAACAGACATCGCTGCGCCGCGGCGCGCGCCGCAGATTCGCGCGCCGGCTTTTCGCACGGGGGAACAACAAAATCCGCTCGTCGAAACGCGGACGCGCGAGGCTTCCTTCGAGTCGCACTTCACCGAGCGCGGCCGACGATCGGCGACGATTGCGCGCGGCACCCCGGGCGGGGTCCATTAATTATCGAAAAGTGTAGCGAGAGTCGGATCTCTCTCACGGTCGTTAAAACCGTGCGACTCGACAAGCAAGAACAGGCGGCAGCGTGAATTTCGGGCTGAGCCTATTTGGGTCAACTTGATGCCGCCTCGCCGACCGACAACGGCCGGTAATGTTAATAACGTGTTGTGCCCCTCTCTCTCTCTCTCTCTCTCTCTCTCTCTCTCTCTCTCTCTCTCTCTCTCTTTCCCTCTCGCGTGCGCACGCCGACAAAATTGCGGCGTTACCGCGCGTTATTATTACATAAAGGCTCGTGTCTAAGTCAGTCCCGCGCGCGCGCCAACTGCTATTTCAGTTAATTAAAAATGAAGCGTTCCCTTCGAGCGCACGACCGCACGTTATCTCGCCGCGCACGCATGCGATCCGCTTAATAATTCTGATAATATCCCATCGAAGGGGAAAAAGAGCGAGAGAGAGAGAGAAAGGTATGGTGCAGTATCACGCAGAGTCGCGCGCGGCGGTAACTTAAGCGAGAAGCGCACACTTTTACATAAAGGCATAATACACGACACATAAGAAAATGAACCAATCAGAGTCTTTAATTTCCAGCATGGCAATGAAAATAAAGATTCTATACTGATAGAAAAATATAGTTGAATTAACTATAATCTCACTATATTTTATAGTTCATTTTGGCGTCAACCATATTTTTATAGTTCGTGGAACCTGCAAAATATAGCGGAATAAACACAAATATATAGTCAACGATTGTCTGAAATAATTGTTTCGTTACTTTTACCACACAATATGGTAATTTCTCATTCACAAATATAGTGTATATTCATATAGTATATTCATATATAGTTACATCTGTCATCATTTAGCAAATATTCGGCTAATATTGACTATATCAAAGAGTTACTTTTACCTACCATTTTATATTTGCATCCATACAACAATTTTAGTTTAACTTACTATAATTCTTAGTAAAAATATTACATGCTTGGTTATGCTATGCCTATATCGTAATTATCATATTACGCTAATACTTACTACAAATATGATATTTCGGACTATAATTTAGTTACTATATCATAGTTCCAAACATCATATACTTTTCTCTCAG